TTCTTTTTTCCAAAGCATCCAGAAACTGGAATTCAGACCAGGAGCAGCAGGGAAATGTCTCCTGAAGGGATGCCAGGAGGTGGGTGGGGAAGTCTTGGCACTTTCTAGCCGTGGTGTCGGTTGTTGTCCTTTGGCAGCAGGACCAGGGAAGAGAAGCCTCTGCTCTCAGAGTGGGTGGGTGCAAGGACTGGGCACTCCCCTCTCAGCCTTTCTGCTCTGAAAGAGGCAGCTTTTCTGATCCTGCAAAGTCAGGGCAAGAGAGCCTACGTCCACGTGCAGAGAGCATTTACCATCTTAGTCAGGCAGAGTCGGGGCCCGGCTCTGAGGAGCAGAGAGGCAGATGGTAACATGCCCCTGGGGTGCCAAGCAGATGCTATGAAAGGAACTCCTCTTGAGGGATGCTTATATAAATGTAGGCTTCGCTTAGTGGGATTTAAGCAAAGCTGAACTTAAGTTTCAACCCAGCTCTTGTCTTGATGGGGCAGCTGCTTGCAAACTTGACTTGGCGGCCAGATGGCACTTCTTTGGCCTTGCACTCGGTCATTCCCCCCCCTTTCTGATAAAATCACTTGAAAACAACAGATGGCTCGCCAAGAACTTAGCCAAGCCAGCAAGCAAGTTACCTGCTTAAGATTTGTAATCAATAAGTCTTCTGCCTTTGGCGACTTTTCCAAACAGCATCAAGTATTTTTAGATAAACTGTCTAGCACAGTCTGTCCTAAAAGAGAGGACAGGTTTTGAACATGGTTTATTTCAACTGAAAGCAACTGAAATGAGAGGTTTGCTTGCACCAATGTGAAATAAAATGCTTTTATTTAAATTGGGTCTTTTTAGAATGTATGCCGGTCAGTTGAAATCAAATCAAAGCACAGTCTAAAACAGTGTGTTTCAAACCTGACAACTTTAAGAATTGTAGACTTCAGCTCCCAGAATTCCCCAGCTAGAATGATATGGGAGGTCCTTAGGCTCTTTTCTCTGCCTAAATGATGGGCTTTGAAGTCCTTTGCAAATAACCAGCAGCTGGAGGGAAGAACTGCTTTGTTTGAGAGAGAGACCCTACAGTATGTGGGGTGCTGTTTGTCTTGCTTTCCCATGACCGCTTATGAAACAGATGTGGCAGGGTTTGAAAGCAGATGCTTGCACTGTGTATTAGCCACCGTTAACATTAGGATGAGCTTACACACACAACACACACAAACCTATATAGACAGAGTTTGGAGGATCTGAATGTGTAGTCAAGCTTATACAACAGTTGTGTGGAATATAGATACTCAGCTGCGGGTTTTATTGCCAGCTTTTTTATATGGCTTCATGTGTTTTAAGATTTTTGGTCCTTTTTTTGCAGTTTTTAACTCTTGTAACTGTAACTGTTGCAAGCCACCAAGAGTCGTTCCATTGAGAGAAGCAGCTATATAAATCAGAAATAATAAATTCATTTTCTGGCATTACCATATTTCTAGAACAGGAAGAAAACGCCCACGTTTCCGTTCCATGACTCCCTTTCTCTGGCTCGGAGCCCTTCCTTAATATCCCTTTCCAACTTTCTCTTTTGACCCAGAATTGGCCTTTTGAATGAAAAGCTTTCCTCCCTTCCACATCGCTGTCCCTGGAGACGGGAGCAGAGGATAAAAACTTTTCTGGTGTTTCCAACATAAAGAGCCTCTTTTTGTATTTTTTTTGGCCTGGGAAATTGAGGCCCCCCTTTTCCACCTCCAGGTTTAGAAGAAATACCTGGCCTGCCTGTTTCCTGAGCCCTCCAAGACTTTCTGTTTACAAAACTGCTCCCGATCCACCATACCTGGGCTGTGACCCATAACGCTTATTAAGAAGGGGAGGACCAGATTGCTGAGACTGTTATGGATGTCTGGTGGATCCCGGTTTCCTTTTTGCTCATCCCTGGTTCGAATATCCTTCCCCACCCCGTTTCTGGGGAGAAATCCATTGCTGCTAATTGCTTTAATTTCAGCCGGTCTCTGCTTTAATTAAAGTCTGGGCAGTGCTGCGCGGAGGAGGAAGTGGGGGTGGGGTCTGTGTGCTGCATGGTGGCTTTGGGGTGGAATTCCCTTTGAAGTTCTTTGAAGATAATTGTTCCGAACAGGGATGGCAAAGCAGGTGTTAATTTAGACTGAACTGAAACTGAGTGAATTTGCTGGGACGACGTGCTCAGCGGAATTGAAGAAGGGGCTTTTTTGGCCATGCCACATATCACGGATTGGAGGGGCTCTGGAGACCCACCCACCCAAGATTTGGGGGGAGGGCAGTGCCTGTTGCCTGGCTGCAGTTCTTTTGACCCACAGTGGGGGAGCCACCAGTGGGACCTCTTCTCGTGGGGAGGCCAGCTAGGTTTGGTCTATAGTTGTCCTTGACTTACAGCCACAAATGAGCCCAAAATTGCTAAACGAGATGGCTGTTAGGTGTGTTTTGCCCCATTTTACTACCTCTCTTGCCATCGTCGCACGATGGTTAAATGAATCCAGCTTCTCCAGTGACTTTGCTTGTCGCAAAAGGGGATCACATGACCCGGACGCTGCAGCCGCCATAACTATGGGCCAGCTGCCAAGCGTCTGAATTTTGATCAGGTGACCCTGGGGGTGCCACAACGGTCATAACTGTGAAAAATGGTCCTAGGTTCTTTAGTGCTGTTGTAACTTTGGTCACTAAACAAGCGGTTGTAAACAAGTGAGGACTGCTTGTATGTGCGAGGTCTCGAGATGGGAATTTGAGAGATGTCTATGAGTGGATCATAAAGAAATGGGATCCGTGCTCCTCTCCTCTAGACTGGCTCATACATTTCCTCCCTCCCTCCCTCAAGAACCAGAGTGGCATCCTTTTTGTGGAGAATCATCCTCATTGGCATCCTTCAGTCTCGAGAGACGATGGTATTGTGCTCTGGGAAGAGGTCGTAAGGCAGCATCTGGTGTGGCTAAAAAGGCCAATTCGAGAATGGCAGTCCCTTCCACACTGAGGGCAGAGAATAGTGGGCTGCTAAAAGTGCCTCCCTATTTATTGATGTGTTTATTATTTGTGCATTGCATTTTTTTCCTCAGAGCTCAAGCAACTTTGCAGGATATGGAAATGAGACTTTGCGATGCAACCTGCTTTATTTTTTTAAAGCTTGCATGGCCTCAAAAGGCATCAAAAAGTGCTGCAGCTAAAGCACCACTTAAGAGTTTTGATGGATGCCTCCTTTGATGCAGGGGGAGAGGCGAGGTTGATTTCCATCATAGAACAAGGGCCAATTAAGCAGATCAGCCTTCCCATCATGGCTGAATTAAATGGAAGATGCCCTCATTGGACACCCCCCCCCGTAGGCATGGGCTCATCTCCTTTCCTTAAAGCAAAAAAATGCAGGTATGGATCGATAAAAGCATTCTTCTCCCAGAAGTCTGCAACTGGATCTGTCGGTTGTGCCCCAGACAACAGGAGCTCATTGGCTGCTGGAAAGCTTTTGGTGAAGAACTAAAAATACCTTTGGTGCTGATGCTGTCAGAAGGGCTGTCGTGATGAGGAGGCAGAGGCAGGCCCAGGGCTTCAGAGGCAGGGAAATCTGTAGCCGAAAAGACGAGCAGCTGCAGTTTTGAAATGGGTTCCTGGTGGCACAGAAGATGTTTAGTCATTGGCCACTTCCTGAAGCATTTCCGCTTCTAGCGTCACGAGCAAAAAGAAAAGAAAAATGAAGATTAGAAAAATTATGATTATTTCCATTTAGTGCAGCCTTGCCCACTTTAATTGGATTCTGGGAGCTGAAATCCACCCATCTGAAAGCTGCCAAGGTTGAAAAACACGGGTTTAGACCAACAATGTCCTGTGAAGGGCCTGAAGGCTTCCAAAGAGCAGTGGGGAGAATGGAAAGCAGGCAACTCTGCATAGGTGATGCTGGTAGACGCCGCCGCAGGCTGACAATTCTCCAGGGCAAGCCCCAAAGTCCTCATTGTGAAAGGTTCCAGGACCGACACTTGATGGAGCCTTTTCAAAACATCTGTATAATTGTCATCTGACAAGGATTATCCCTGCAATTCCCAGGGATCTGGTTGCTGTCATTTTCTGAATATTCTAACTGGCAATGGTGGGACCAGATGTGGACTTCAATTCCCAGAATTGCTTGGCTGCTAGCTGGGGAATTCTGGTAGTTGAAGTCCACATCTCTTAAAGTCGCCAAGGTTGAGAAATACCGGTCTAGACTTTCAAAAATCTCCCAGCTGGAAAAAGGGTGGTTTTGGGCAAATTATCATCCACCCTTCTTGTTTATCTCTAGATTTCTCTTTGCTTCATCCTGCTAATATACATCTAAGGCGTTCTGGCTAAAATAGCAGGTGTTTATCTCATGGTCAGCTCTGTTCTTTTGCCAGGAGTGGACAGCAGCCAGGGCATTGGCACCTGTCCAAAAACAGGGAAAGAGGATTAGCTCGCAGTTGGCACGGGACGGGCAAATCCACTTCTTTTTGGCAAATTTATTATCCTTAAGAAACGCAAGCATCAGGTTTCATCTAAGAAGGGTAAAGCAGAAGGGGCACCAGCCAGGTGGCAAAGGGGTGGTGGCCTCTTCCTGCCTTGTGCCTGGCATCAAAATCCTCAGCCTGCTTCGCCAAGGAACCGGCTCCTTTTTCATGGGAGATTATTCTAATTGTCGGCATCAGGGCGTAGTATTCTTGCTGTGCACTTTGTTGGCTTAGCATGGCTTAATCAGAGTGCCGGGCATTTTGCAAAAACAAAAAAGTAGGGCACAATTCCCTGCCCCAAGGAGGACCTAGTTGCTGAAACCAGGGAGGGAAAGAAAGCAGATGGAGGCAGGGCAATTATAGACAGAATATGCATTTATTTGGAGTAGACACAAAGGGGCTTCATGGTATCGGATGAAAGAAAACATAGCCACCATTGTAGCCTCCTGGCCCAAGGTTTGGACTACAACTCCCATCTCCCACATCAGGTTAGGTGACTGGGGACCTGCTTCATCAGACCAAGATGGCATCCCTTGGTCCATGGTGGCATTTGGGAGCAGCCCATATTTCCTCTCAGGAACATAGTTTTGGGTCTGTTCCTCTCCTGCTTTCTCCTCTGCATGGGGGTTGGTGCCGCCCACCCAGGGGCCTTTCCGGTGGGTCTGACAAGGCAGGTGGTCTTCTTCCCTGTGTCCCACCAGGAAAAAACGAAGGTGAGCCAGCCCTTGGACTACGAGAATGTGATCAGCCAACGGAAAGCGCAAATCTACAGCGATCCCTTCCGGGACCTGCTCATGTTTCCCATGGAAGATGCCTCAGTGAGTTGCTCTCCATCCCTGTGGGGTGTCAGGCGAGTGGTCCCCCCCCCCAGTTCCTTTCTGGGAGGCCCTCTCAGACTGTGATCTGTTCACCTGGCCTCCTACACTAAGGAAATGGGCCAGGAGAAACATAGCTGTTCTGGAACCACGTTTGGTTCCATGTTTGGCCACGGAGATAGCTCAGAAGGATCCACAGATAAACCTCAGGAGGCTCTTGGGGCAGGTATTTTTTTCCAACAGCCTTCCTTCAGAAGGTGTTCCCATGCCCTGGGGTCACCACCAAGGAGGTCCTGTCCAGTCAAAACATAAGACAAGTTCAGAAGCTGGATTTACTCTCCCTCCAAGCCTAGTTAGATGCTTCTGAAAAATCCTGCTCAAGCAGGAAGGGAAGACCCCTCCCTAGCCTTCCTTCCACCTAGAGGGTCTTCAATCATTTTGGAACCAGCGACCAACTTTCCTTCCAGCTCTCGGTTATCAGTCGCCAGAGGAGAACTGTCCATTCCTCAGTGCCAGAAGATGCTTTGAAGAAGGCCCAGAGTCTCTTTGTCCAAGAGGTGAGACCCCCGACTCTCTTCTTGGGGGGGGGACCTAGATTGGACCATTGGTCATTAGAGAAGGCTGATGGGAGTTGTAGTTAGTCTTTCTAGCGGAAGCACCAGCTTTGGCAAGGCAGCTTCAACTCTTCAGTGTTTTCAAAAGAGGAAGCAAGTCACGCATTTCATTTCTTTAAAAACTCCCTCCCTTGCATAACTCTCAGGGCAAAAACAAATCCAAATAAACCACAATTATTCTGCATGGCAGCATTTGCAACATTGTGTGCTGACTTTCATTGTGTACTTTTAAAGGCCTCTTGTCCTTTTTACTGTTTTAAGTGGCTCTGTGATCTGCCCCACATAGGAGACCTTGAATATTTAAATTCCAGAGGAAATCCTGTCCATAAATAGCCATTCCTTGTCCAGAGGGAGGGATCTGGAGCTTTCAATCATTTCTGCAAGTCCCAGGAGAGGACAGGGAGTCACCTGTAAGCCAGACCATCCCCTGGGCAAAGTCCTCCAGCTGAATCCCCCACCTCAGTAGGGCTTTTCTTGCTGTGTGGGACACAAGGCAGCTGCCTCCCCTTCCCCAGAGGTCCAGCCATTGTCTGCCAAGCAGCCACAACTGAACAAACAAGGGGGCAGGGGGGCTTTGAGCGGTGGAGAATGCCAAAACCCCCCCCCATCTTTATGCATCTAATTTCTTAGCTGCTCCTCAGTGAATGTTCAGTCTGCAGTTGCACTCAGGCTGAGTTTTGCGGCGGCGGCTCTAATTCGCACTAGCGGATTTGAACAAGCAAGGTTTAATTTTCTTTTCAGTGCATTAAAGCATATAGCTCAGACTGGTATGTTGTGAACTACAAATATGACGAATATTCTGGTGATTTCCGAATGTTACCATGGTAAGCATTTCTTTCTCCAGGGGTGGGTGTTTCTTGCATGCCCGGGCTTGTACGTCGGACGGGATCTTACAACACTGCGTTTTGCAGGGCCAAACCAGGGTGTTTTCCTCGGCCTCCAAGAATCTTAGTGATTTAATTAAACAATTAAGGGTTTAGTATAATCCGTGGACCACCCAACAACCGAGCTTGGGGGAGGAATCCTTGGGCAGGATTCCTTAAAGTTGTGGTGCCCTGTGGGTGAGTTGGCCCCCCAAATAGTCTTCAAGGACCCTTTTCATTTGTTAATTATTAGTATCGTGGTTTTGTTTTTAATTATGATGTAACTTGAGTAAAACTTGTTGTCTTCACTTAGCAAATCCTTCAGGCCAGAGAAGGTCCCAAGCCACGTCTTTGAAATTGATGAAGACTTTGATAAAGATGAGGTGAGAGGACGCGCTAGAGGTTCCCACCAAGTGCAACAGGAGCTCCCACTGGGTGCCCCAAGGAAATAAAGCACAGCCTCCTTCACGCAATTGCACAAAGTTCACTTAATTTGGGGATCCTCCTGCCTTCTTTCTAGAAGTTTGTAGCATAGAATAAATATTGAGCCTCGTTTAGAAGATGGAGCTCACATGCAGAGACGGTGAAAGAAGGCGAGACGGTTGGTCAAACCTGAAAATAGCACTGCTGTTTTGTCTTTATGGTTTTAGTTTTAACATTCCTGGGAAGAAGACTGGCTCTGGCCTGCCTCTTGCGGGTGTCTGCCCAGCGGCCTTTATAATCTAATTTTCAGCTTGAGCCATGTGCTGGTTGCCAATCCAGCCTTATGCAGGGTAGATGTGAAGGAGCAAAAGGCGCCCACCACACCCACACAATAGAAAATCATCTTGCAGTGTTTGAAAGGGAGGCTGTTTCATTAGAAGGGTTCACACAGAAGAGAGGATCTGAAGCACCTACAGGATCACAAAGGGCAGTTTTCTCATCCTTTGGAGCTTGGGATTCTTGCCTTGTGTGACCAAGGGTTCATCTGTGTGGTCCACAAGCCCTTGGGCAAAGGAGCAGAGCCGGTTTGTAGGGAGGATCAGGATTATCAACACAAATATCCCGTCTTTGCCACACCTGCCCGACTGAAATAGGAGACGTTTGTGGATGGAAACTTTTGTTGAGCTATCACTGGGTCCCCTTTCCTTGCGATGATTTTCTCTCTCCTCCCTTCCAGGACGCCGCCTCGCTGTGCTCCCAAAAGGGTGGTGTGATCAGGCAAGGCTGGTTGTACAAGGCCAACGTCAACAGTACCATCACTGTGACCATGAAAGTAAGAGACTCCTCGGAGCCCTTTGGTTTCATTTTGCAGGGAGCAGAGAAAAACAAACTAGGTTTGTTTGGGTGGAAAAGATGCCTCAGTAATGTCTGCAACAGCTTGCCTGCTTGAGCATGGATGAAGTTAGAGGCCCAGAACACGGATCGTTGATGGTCTGTGGACCACACTGAGAATCATTGCCACAGATGCTGTGTCCCAGCTGTGGCTGCTTTGCTTCTGTGTACCCCCTGCAGAGAAAATGCCACAATTGCTGGTTTTAACCTACTTTTCTTTGCACGAAGTTCATGATTTTGGAATTCTGTCTCAAGTAGAAATGAGCGGAATGGAGCAGAAACCATACCGGAAGATCAACAATCTCTAACAGTGAGCTTTTTTTCTTTTTTCTGAGTAGGTATTCAAGAGAAGGTACTTCTACCTGACACAGCTTCCAGATGGCTCTTACATCCTCAATTCCTACAAAGATGAGAAGATTTCCAAGGAATCCAAAGGATGTATCTTCCTGGATTCTTGCATAGACGTTGTGCAGGTAAGGATTTGCAAAAGGTTTTGCTAGAGAATTTGTAAGCCCAGAGGCAGAGTCATGCTGGAGACGATCTAGTGTGGATCTACTCTTTGTCTGTCTGTTTGTCTGTCTTCTGTCAGTCAATTTATTTCTCACTGGTTATTGGGAAATACTTTCAACCAAAGTTCTAGCAAAGGAAAACAAGAACAAAATACCGGCAATGCTCAGATGGTTTTATGAACCAGAATTGTGTAGATTCTCAACTTCCCCGGCTGTTTCGCTTAGCAGCAGAACTGTTGGGCTCGGCTGCGGCTGGAAGTCAAAGGCCGCCTGTAGACCGCAACGTAACGGCCACGCTTTCTCCTCCCCGCCTCGTCGGTCCCACCCGGCCACCTGCTTTTGTCCCTGCTTGAGGGCTTCAGGGAAAGGTGGGGGTCCAGGGAGATGTCACCCCCAGCCTCAAAAGGTCCCCTGCCTTTCTCCCCCAAGTGCCCCAAGATGCGCCGAAATGCCTTTGAGCTCAAGATGATGGACAAGTACAGCCACTACCTGGCCGCGGAAACGGAGCCGGAGATGGGAGACTGGCTGGCCACTCTGCGGAAGGTCCTGCAGGCCAACACGGAGGGGCCAGAGAAGAAGGAGGAGTTCGTGCCTGGTGAGGACCCGCGATGGAGACAGGTCTTGATGCCATCACACACAGGCACACAAACACACACACACACACATAGTAGAGAGGAAGAAGAGGGTGGATGGATCTCTTGCTGCATCCAAGGCACTGTTGCTGCTTCAGATCTGACACTGTTTGTACACACGTTCTATTTTCAATCCCCACCTCCCAGGCTTGCTTAAGATAAGCTTTTCCCAAGATCCTTCCAGGTTTAGCAGAGTCCCCGTGCCCAAAACTGCCCAGGTCCCCCTCCCTGGCTTAAAGTGGTTTGGTTCAGCATCAGTCCCCTCCCTCCCTCCTCGGCCTCTTCGGGGGTTGTGTTGCTGGGCTGCATCCAACGCAGTTCCCGGAAGAGATGAGGGTGAAGCTGAAGGAAAAGGCCAGGTTGCCCCCTGGCATCTGTGAGCGGCTGGATCGCGACTCTGCTGGTGGGACAGGAAATTCCCGGCCAGCTTCCCGGCCCTTCGTCCCAATTTCCCAGGTCTTCCAGAGGAAGCCATTGTCTCTTCTGGCCAGGTACCTCTGCAACATCTGCTTTTTGTGACTTTGCAGATGATGACTCCAGCAGCCATGGAAAGTTGGAGAACATCTTGGAAAGCTTAGGAAGAAGCCTGCATCCAGAGCTGATGAAGGTAACCTTGGCTTCGGCCTTTTCTGCCAGGAAAGTAGGGAAACATCTGGACTGGGCAAATTCTGGATCAGCCCACCTCACTCTTTGCAAAGCCCTTTGCAAAGAGATCTTGGCCTGCCCATATTTGAGCAATCAGAGCCAGATCTGAGGTCTGTTTTAGGCTCAAACTGCAAGGAGGGAGAATGGTTTCAGCATTCTCGTTAGGTGGTTACCTGATGGGTTTGGCAGTCCTGCCACACAGAGGCCCCCCCTCCCACCCCTCCTTCCCAGCTTCTCTCTACCAACGTGTTCACTATTTTGCTTCCCCCGTTTCCACCGATCCCAGCCTCACACGCAAGGTCTCTTCTCTTTCAGTACGGCCGAGAAACGGAGCAGCTCAGCAAACTCAGCCGCAGTGAAGGCAGGCAGAACCTCTTCTCCTTCGATCCAGAAGTGCAGGTAACCCTTTTGGGGCAGGAGGCTCTTGGCTCAGTGAAAAAGCATGGCTGACGGTAGGTAGGTAGGTAGGTAGGTAGGTAGAAAAAGAAAGAAAGAGAAAAAAAGAAAGAAAGAAAGAAAGAAAAGAGAGAAAGAAAGAAAGAAAGAGAGAGAGAGAGAGAGAGAGAGAGAGAGAGAGAGAGAGAGAGAGAGAGAAAGAAAGAAAGGAAAGAAAGGAAAGGAAGGAAGGAAGGAAGGAAGGAAGGAAAGAAAAGAAAGAGAGAGAGAGAGAAAGAAAGAAAGAAAAAAAGAAAGAAAGAAAGAAAGAAAGAAAGAAAGAAAGAAAGAAAGAAAGAAAGAAAGAAAGAAAGAAAGAAAGAAAGAAGAGGGAAGGAAGGAAGATATCTTTGAAATATGTGCCATTTGCCCCTTGTTTCCAAATAGGAGCATCTTCAACCTGCCTCCCCCTGATCCAGGTGGGAAAAGAATCCCCTTTGCCTTTTTCTCTCCTAGAGGCTGGATTTCTCCGGACTAGAGGTGGACATCCGTCCCTTTGAGGAAAGGGGACAGCCACGCTTCCTGTTGAACTGCCACTCCCTGACCTTCAACCTCCTGGCCCAACTGAAGGACAGCTCCAAGGACCCCCCTTCAAATGTAGGCCCCCCACCCATTGTATGTTTTTATTGCCAGAGCCTTCCCCACATTTTTATTTACTCGCTCCCAAACGGCTTCCTGGTCCTTACAATGTGTCCTAAGAACATCAGCCAAGTCCTGCTGGATCAGGCCCCTGGCTCTCTAGTCCAGCAGATGTTCTCCTGGGGGCCAACCAGCAGCACGTGGAAGCCCACCAGTCCCCTAGAAGATGCCCCCCCAAGGCAGTCCCACTTTGGCACTTCGATTGACTATATGCCAGCAAGTCATTGTTGACTCTTTTAACAACCACATAGATAGATTTTCACCCGGATGATCTGTCCCCAACTTGGTCCTTCCGATTGCACTCATCGCTGTTGCAACTCAGTCCCTCCATCTTGCTGCTAGTCATCCTTTTCTTCTCTTTCCTTCCACCTTTCCCAGCCTAACAGCCTTCTCCACTGAGCTGGGTCTTCACATCATGTATCCAAAGTAGGATAATTTGGTCATTTGTGCCTCAAGTGAGAACCCTGCTTTTTCCAGTGCCCAAGTTTGAAGTAACCCGTTCTTCTTCTTCTTCTTCAAAATCCAGCCTTCCCTTCTGCAGAATGTCAAGTCAATGTCAACCTAAGGATCTTCTTTTGTGCTCCCAGGTAGAACCATTCTTCCTCAGCCTGGCTCTCTTTGATCTGAAAAGCTGTTGCAAGATCTCAGCAGATTTCCACGTGGACTTAAATCCTGGCCCTGTGCGGGAGATGCTGCCTGACTCTTCCGACCAAGAGCCTGGAAACAGCCCCGTCAACAGCCGTTCCCTCCATGGCATGGCGGAGTCCAGCTTGCGCTACATAAAGCAGGTGAGAGCCTCTGTGGATTCCACCAGATCTCAGATTTAACAGGAACGAAGCCTCCAAAGGAAATAGGAGCTAAATTAAACCTAACGTGCAGCAATTTACTATTCAGTTCTCAGTAATCTAGGAGCCTTCCGTCCTTGCTTAGGAGAGAGTTGGTTGAAGTTGGGACTCTCTCTTAAGTAAGGACAGACCCACAGGGCCTAAAATATTTTGCACTTCTCCTTTTTGTGTAGGCTTGAGCTTCTAGCTGGGGCTCTCTCAAATGATGGCCTTCACGTTGTCTTGTCCATCTTTAGGGGCTTTGTAAGTTCTGATGCTCTGCTTCTCTTTTACACAAAGGGGGTCTTCTCTGTGACCAACCCCCACCCAGAAATTTTTCTCGTTGCCCGGGTGGAAAAGGTGCTTCAAGGAAGCATTGCCCACAGCGTGGAGCCGTACATCAAGAATTCAGATCCTGCAAAGGTACAGCTGATCCCATGGGATGGACTCGCCGTGCTTTGGGATGGGAAAGAAGGCAATGAGGTGTCTTAAGGCGGGACCTCCCATCCCACAAAGCTCCTTCAGTTTGTGTTACACCATGAAAGGCAGGAAACATCCTGTTGAGATAACAACGGTGGTTGAGCACATAAGAGGCATTAATGGCTGCCTGGACTATGGTTTACAAATCAGAGAGATTGAACCCAAATCAAATGAGCCATATCTTAGCGCAGTGTGAAGGTATTTTATGAATGTTCCACCTAAATAATGGGACTCCTAGATCAAGTGATTAAGAGATTGAGAGTTGAACATGGACAAGACATGCAGCATCTCTTGGATTGGGGATAGAGATCTGGGGGGGGGGGCAGAATTTATTTACTGAGCTGCATATACCTCCTTTTGCCCACTTGTACTCTTCCTGGGTAGGGAAAGGAGCAAAGCGATGCTGAGCAACAATTGGTGATGTTTCAGATGTTCTCGGTGCTCGCCTAGAACATTTATGGGCCTATCTTGGGGGAACCTCACTTCCCCGGTTCTAGGAACCTGCCTTAGCTGACTTATCGGAGATTGGTGCTCCGCCTGCCTGCCTGCCACCACTCCTGGATGACTTTCATCTTCCAACTTCAACCAGCTGTCCACATCTGATCTGTTTTCTTTCCTTCACAGACAGCGCAGAAGGTCCACAAGCTGGCGAAGGTGTTGTGTAGCCGTCTTGGACGGTACCGGATGCCCTTTGCTTGGGCGGTCAGGTGAGGCTACTTCTGGGTGCTGATGCCAATGTCAACATGTTGCCCTTCACATGAGTGGAAAATGACAGGAGGAGAAAGTTCCTAACAGTGGGGATAATTAACCAGTGGAACAGAAGTTGCCTTCAGAAATCCTGGGCGCTCCATCAGTGGAGGTTTTTAAGAGGAGACTAGACAGTCACTTGTCTGAAATGGTTTAGGTTCTCCTGCTTGAGCAGGGAGCTGGACTAGAAGACCTCCAAGGCCCCTTCCAGTTCTATTCTATTCTAAAGTCGTTTGCCCACAGCTACCAGGTCAAACTGCCATTTGAAGGTGGCATTTGAAGGTTTTCCAAAGGAGAAGACCTTCTATTTTGACCTTGCTCTTCCAGGAGTCTGCTGCTTCTACTCTTCCTCAGAAAGACATTTCCTGGTTGAAATCTCCATCTCTGGAAGTTTGCTGGCCTTTCAGAGTGCTTCCTCTGCTATCCAAACACATCTCCAGATGCCAGATAGCCCTGAACAATGCTGGAGAAATATCTTCTCTGTGACTGGTATTTGATAAACTAACGTTCTTTGGTCAGCACATGTAAAGAAATACCAGCAACTTCCCCAGGAAATGTGTCTCCCTTTTTAGCTTACTTCTCCAGAAGATTGAATGCACGTTGACCTTGACATTGTCTCAGACTTTGATTCATCTTTGATTCATTTTGTCAGGGCAGTTGTATGAAAAATGCCATTCCTTGGCCTGCATGTCCTCCAAACTTGGTTTGATCTCTTGGCTTGAACTGTTAAAATGAAAAAATCTGGCTAAGAAGGGAGGAAGATGGCTTATATGTGAAGAGCATCAAGCCACTTTGTACCAACCAACTCTTTGCATTCTGTTTCCTGGTTGTGTTTCGGCACCTGCTTCCTGGCCTAAATTCCTGGAGCTCCATAAATTCCATGCTTGGGTATTTACCTGAGAGGCTGTGAGGTTTCCATGAGCAGGTGGGAACGTTGCCCAAATGTACACCCTTCTCTCTCTCCAGGTCTGTCTTCAAAGACACCCAAGGCACCTTGGACCTGGATGGGAGGTTCTCTCCCCTCTATAAGCAAGAGAGCAGCAAACTCTCCACGGAGGACCTGCTGAAGTTCTTGGCAGAGTATAAGAAGTAAGGCTGCTGGGACAGGAGTGTCCTTCTGCACAACGGGGGGGGGGGGGGGGG